GACCCCATCCCTATGGCACCGGGAGGGGGCACGGGGCCACGCTGACCCCCCCCATCCATCCATCCCGGTACCCGCAGGCGGTGCCGCGCCTGCTGCTGCTCACCACCGAGCACCTCATCCTGGCTGACACCAAAGCCGCCCAACCCAAGACCGTGCTGAGCCTGGGCGACATCCGCAGCGTCTCCGTCACCCGCTTCTCCGATGGCTTCCTGGTGCTGCACCTCAAGGAGGTACCCAGGGAATGGGGCATCCCTTGAGGGGGGTCCCCGGTGTGACTGAACCCCCCCTTTCCTCCTCCCCAGACCTCCACAGGGGCAGCCAAAGGCGACTTCTTGCTTGTCAGTGACCACCTCATCGAGCTCGTCACCCGCCTGCACCAGACCCTCATGGACACCACGGCCCAGGCCCTGGCCCTGCACATCACGGACCAGTATGGACAGGGCGGGGCCAAAGGGGGCGGGACCAAAGGGGCGGGGCTAAAGGGGGTGTGGCAGGGCGGTGGCCAGGGTAGGGCATCAGCAGGCTGGTCCTGAGTGCCTGCATCCCATGAGCGGTGGGTGGAATGGAGGCAGCTGATTGGGCAGGGGTTGGGGTGGGGCTGGGAGTGTCCCCCCTTCATCCTATTCCCCCCCTCCTCAGCATCTTCACCATCACTTTATGAGCCCCCCATTCCTTTATGATTCCCCTCCATTTCTTTATAATCCCCCCATCCTTTTATGATCCCTCTATTCCTTTATGATCCCTTTATTCCTTTATGATCCGCCCCATTCATTTATGATCCCCCATCCCTTTATGATCTCCCCACCCCTTTATGATTCCCTCATTCCTTTATGATCCCCCCATCCCTTTATGATTCCCCCATTGCATTATGATCCCCCCCATTCCTTTATGATCCCCCCATCCCTATCACCCCCCTCCCTTTAGGATCCCCTGCATTCGTTTATGATCCCCCCATCCCTTTATGATCCCCCCCATTCCTTTATGATCCCCCCTATCCCTTTATGACCCCCCCCTCCAGGTTCTCCACCCGCTTCCAGAAGGGCGACTTGGCCATCACCGTGGTGGAGTCGGCCAAGGCAGGCACCAACGGCCCCGTCTGCAAGAAGCGGGGCAGCCACAGGATGGAGGTGCTGGTCCACTGATGGGGACCCCCTCCCTCACCCCCTGCCGGGACCCCCCCATCCTCTGTGTGTCCTCCTCCTGCACCCAGGAGGTGCTGCACCCCATTAAAGGGATGCTGTGGTGTCGGTGTCGCAGTGTCCCCCCCCGTTACAGGCGCAGCAGGGACACCCACAGTGGTGTAGATGGGGGGGTGCTGTTCACAGCAGAGGATGGAGCCCCCGCTTGGCCCCCCGCTTTCCCCGCTGCCTGATTGCGCCCGGCTCCCGGCTCAGCGGTGATTGGAAAGGCCCCAAATTGCAGCCACTTTTCCCATTAAGTGGAAGCAGCTCGCTCTGCCGCAGAGGCAATTTCGGGGTGGCCGCGGGGGGTTGGCACGTGAGGTCCTCGCCTCTCCGTCCCCATCTCCCCCCCAAACCCATGCTGCAGGACCCCCCACTTTATCTCCTCATCTTCCTCCTTCTTCCCCCTTTGGGGAGCAGAGAGGAGCCGCTGCTGCACCCCAAGTCCTGCAGGCCCCACACAGCAGCCCCCCCCCCTCCCTTTGCTGCCTTTTATCTCCTGCTCTCATCGTGCTCTCAGGGAGGGTTTTGTTCCCCGGCCCCACACGTCACCCGCGTTACCTTTGGGAGCTGCCACCTCCCCATCACATCCACATCAGCACCAGCTCCCCGGTGGGCCCTGGAGCATTGCTGCGCTGTGTCATGCATGGGGATGGGGATGGGGATGGGGATGGGGATGGGATGGGGATGGGGATGAGGATGGGGATGGGGATGGGGATGGGATGGGAATGGGATGGGGATGGGGATGGGGATGGGGATGGGGATGATGGGGATGGGGATGGGATGGGAATGGGATGGGGATGGGGATGGGATGGGGATGGGATGGGGATGGGGATGGGGATGGGGATGGGATGGGGATGGGATGGGGATGGGGATGGGGATGGGGATGGGGATGGGGATGGGATGGGGATGCGGATGGGGATGAAGGGGGGGGGCACATGTGTGCCAACGCATGCCAGGGCACTCGGGCAGCACGCGGAGGGGCACGTGTTCGTGTGCCCTGGCTCCAAGGGCTCCCCCCTCCTCTTCCCACATCGGGGTGCATCACATCCCAGCGCAGGGACCCCGCTGCTTGTGCATGGAGAGGGGTGAAAGCCATCGAGAAACCCGGGGGCATCGCAGCCTTTGGCGGCCGCGTCGCGCCTGGCACCGCTCAAGGAGGTGTTATTCATTAATTAGGCCGGCTCTGGCCAGGCTCCCGTTTAATTAACGTCCCCAGCACTGCAGATGCTGCCCTGCCCGGGGCTGCGCTGCCGCGTGAGCCACCGGGGCTGCCCGTTGCTGGGGGCTGATGGTGGCAGCTTCAGTTCGTTGGCCTGGGTTCCCCTTCCCTCCGCTCCCTGCAATAGGGGTGATGAGGGCGGCGCAGGGATGAGGGCTCAGGATACAGGAGCGGGATGCGATGGGGGGGGTTGAGGATGCGCAACCAAGCTGCGGCTCCCAGGAGGCTGAACCGACCCCGAGCGCGGCACCGAGGGGTCTGGGGGCTCCGTGTGCGGCTGCGAAGCCACGGGCACCGCGTCCCCTCCCGTCCCCTCCATGCGCGTCCCCACACGTGTGCTCGGGTGAGCGCGGTCCCGTGTCCCCCCCCCTCCCCGCGGGGCCCGGGGCTGCGTGGGCCCGGTGCTGGCCCCTGCCGTGTCACCGCGTGACTCCGCGCCGGTACCGGTGACACCGCGTGGGCGAGGAGCTGCAGGCTGGGGGGTGCCACCCCCCCCGCCCGGCCCCCATTGGCAGCTCTCCTCTCGCCCACCCGTGACGTGCCATGGGCAGAGCCCCCTATTTATCCCCGCACCGCAGCCCGCACCCCGGTTCTTCCCCTCCCGGCAGCCGCAAGCACCGGGGGTTGCTCAGCCCCCGGCTCCGCACCCGAGGGCTCAGCAGGTCTGTGCCCTGCGGCACCCGGGGGTCCTGGGGGGCTGCTGCGCCCCCTCCTCACCCCGCTGGGAGAGGGAGGAAGGGAGGAGGAGGAGGAGGGTGATGAAGGCACCGGGCAGGAGATACGGGGTGAAGATGCTGCTTGACTTCGGCTGGGGAAGGGATGGGTCGGCAAAGATGCGTGTGCCAATGTGTGCTAATGTGTGCCAGTGTGTGTGCTAATGTGTGTGCCAGTGTGTGACAATGTGCGTGTCAATGTGTGCCAGTGTGTGTGCCAATGTGTGCTAATGGTTGTGCCAGTGTGTGACAATGTGTGCTAATGTGTGCCAATGTGTGTGCTAATGTGTGCCAATGCGTGTGCCAGTGTGTGTGCCAATGTGTGTGCCAATATGTGCCAGTGTGTGTGCCAATGTGCGTGCCAATGTGTGCCAATGTGTGTGCTAATGCGTGTGTCAGTGTGTGCCAATGTGTGTGCCAATGTGTGCCAATGCGTGTGCCAGTGTGTGTGCCAATGTGTGTGCCAATATGTGCCAGTGTGTGTGCCAATGTGTGTGCCAATATGTGCCAGTGTGTGTGCCAATGTGCGTGCCAATGTGTGCCAGTGTGTTCCAATGTGTGTGCCAGTGTGTGCCAGGGGACGGGTGCCTGCACTCACCCATGTGCATGTGCAGGACTGACCCGAGCTGGTGTTTGCACGGTCCGGGTGCTGTGGGAGTGCCCGAAGGGGGCACCACGGGCACGAGGGCGGGTGTGGGACCCCCCGGTGCCGCTCCGTGATGCACCCCCAGAACGCGCTCCACACCCCCGAGGACGCGCTTCCCCCCCCCTTCATTCCCGGTCCGGACTCCCCCCGGGCCGCCCCGCAGAGGGGGCTCTGGCTCGGGGGGGACCCCGGCCCCCTCCGCCCCGCCGCTGACCGCCACCCCCAGGGCCCCCCCCGGACGATGAGGACCCGCCCGGTGCTCACGGCGCTGCTCGTCCTGGCGCTGCCGCTTGCGCTCGCCCGCAGCCCCCCCGCCGCCGCCGCCCCGCCGGGCCCCGCACAGGTAGCGCCGTCGGGGGGGTCGGGTTGGGGGGAACCCCGGTTTCCCGCACTCCGCTTCCCCCCCATTCCCTTCACCCGCTTCGCTTCCCGCAGGGGATGCCCGCCCCGGAGCCGGTGCCCCGGAGAGCCCGCGCCAGCCCCGGGCCCGTCTATGCCGCCCTGCTGCAGCTGCTGCGGGAGGAGGACGCCGGTGAGCGCCGGGACGCGGGGCCGGATGGAGGGGGGGTGTCGGTGCGGTCCCTCCGGTCCTTGCGGCCGCTCTCACCCTCTTCGGTCTCTTGCAGGTCCCCCCGCGGCCGCGGCGCTGCTGAAGCGTAAGTCCCGCCCGGTGCCGGTGCCGGTGCCGGTGCCGGTGGCGGTGGCGGCGCCGCAGCCGGGCCCCGCGGCGCTGACGGCGGCTCTCTCCGCAGGGGACATGCACGACTTCTTCGTGGGGCTCATGGGGAAGCGGGCGGCGGAGCCGGGGCGGCCGACGGGGGGGGATAAGAGCGGCGGCCCGTGCCCACCGTGCTCCCCGGCGTGACCGCGGGCAGAGCCGGGGATGGGGGGGGGGGGGGGGGACATGGACCTGGACGGGGCCGTGCGCTGTGGCCCGGTGCGGGCACCGGCACCGATCGCGCCGCCGCTCACGGAGCCGTCGGGCCACGCACCCGTGTACGAACACCCCCGGTGTCCCGAGCCCTCGAACAAAGACCCGTGCCCGTGCGGGGCGGTCTCTGTGTGTTGGCTGCGCCGCGCTGGGACCCACGGAAAGAGGGGAGGGAGGGGGGTGGTGAATGAACGAACCCCCGGGGATGGAGCGGCGAGACCCGGCCCTGACCCCCGGGAACCGACGCCGCTGCCCCGCGCAGCGTCCTCCGATCCGCACGGGGGCGCTGTGACCCCGCCGCACGCACGGCGGACGGAAGCGGCTCCGGCGGCGGCCCGGGGCGGGTCGGCGCCTTTGTGTGAGCCGAGCCGGGATGGTGCCGGGCAGCGGCCGGGTAAGGACCCCGCCGGCCCCCGCCGCAGCCCCCGCGGTGCCCCCCGCACACCTCGGGCCTCCCGTTACCCCGCTCCCCCTTCAGAACCCTCCTGCTCCCCCCCCCCATCCTCGTGGGGCACCGGCTCCCCCGTTCCCCCCTCCCGCGGTCCCCGGTTCCCTCCCCGGTTCTCCCCGCGTTATCCGGACCCCCCCCGCGGGCAGCGGAGCTTCTCTCCCCCCCCCCCTTTCCCGTCTCCATCCCCCTCCCGGGGATGCCCCCACGTTGCCCCCAGTGCAGCGTCTGCGGAGCCTTCCTCGGCCATCCCCATCCTCTGCCTCCATCCCTCGTGCTCCGGCCCGGCCCGGCCCGGCCCCGGCTCCTCTTTGCCCCTTCCTGAGCGCCGGATGCAGCCCGGACCCCAAAGCCCCGCTTCGGGGGTGTCCGGGAGGGAGCGGCGCGGGGTTGGGGATGCACCGGGGCGCGCTGTGAGCGCCATGGGGACAAAGCTGGAAGGGGGGGGGATTGCGGGCGCCATGGGGCAGGCGGCCCGGGGGTGCTGCAGCGGCTGCGGGGGGCCGGGAGTGATGCGGAGCAAAGGGAGGAAGGGGCTGGAGGGGAAGCCAGGCAGGGAGCAGGGCCTGGATGTGTTACCCTGGCTCGGGCAGAGGGGGATGGATGCAACAGGCACCGCTTGGGTCCTCTGCCCATAGGTACAAGCAGGACCCTGAGGCTGTTGCTGGCACAGCCAGTGCTGGTTTGCTCTGTCCCTCCCATCCCAGAGCTGGTTTTTGAGGTCTCACAATGGGTTTTGGTCCATTCCCCTCTGAGCAGCTCCACCGCTGCCTCCATTGCTCATGGGGAAGGTGACGGCAGCGATGTTCTCTGGTCCCATTCTGTGCATCCCTTCCCCTAGAGCCCCTCGCCCTGCCAGTGTCTGGATGCCGAGCACCTCCCGCTGAATGCGTGAAGAAGCAGCGGAGCCAGGAGAAGGCCTCTTAAGCAGCTAAGATGGGCATGAGGATCAAGCTGCACAGCACCAACCACCCCAACAACCTGCTGAAGGAGCTCAACAAGTGCAGGCTCTCCGAGACCATGTGCGACGTGACCATCCTGGTGGGCACCCGCTCCTTCGCTGCCCATAAAGCCGTCCTGGCTTGCGCTGCCGGCTACTTCCAGAACCTGTTCCTGAACACGGGGCTGGATGCCGCCAGGACCTACGTGGTGGACTTCATCACCCCGGCCAACTTTGAGAAGATCCTGAGCTTCGTGTACACCTCCGAGCTCTTCACGGACCTCATCAATGTGGGCGTCATCTACGAGGTGGCGGAGAGGCTGGGCATGGAGGACCTGCTCCAGGCTTGTCACTCCACCTTCCCCGACCTGGAGAGCTCGGCCATCACGAAGCAGCCCTCGCTGTGCATGGGCGAAGGGCGGCCGGGGCCCCTGAGCAGCGCCTCCTCGGAGCAGAGCCATTCCCTGGGGGACATCCGGAGCACTGGGGAGCATTTTGGCCCCGAGAGGAGTTACATCTTGCACGGGGAGGCGGCCGGCGGCTACAAAGAGGATGAGAGGACAACAGTGAGTGACAGCAGCCAGGCTCTTCCCTTAATGCACCCGCAGCAGGCTCCCAAGGCAGAGCAGGAGCCGGATCAGGGGCAGTTTGCCCTCGCCACGAGCATGGTGACCCAGCCCGTTCAGAGCACCGCCAGCTCCTGCCAGCAGTATAAGGTCCAGAGCAACGGTGACTACAGCAAGGGCGGCTTCTTCACTGCTGATCCTTGCCTGGACGTCTCCACGGGGAGCAACTCGTGTCCCAGCAACAGCGACCACTCCAAGGAGCAGGGCTTTGGGCAGATGGACGAGCTGCAGCTGGAGGACTTGGCCGAGGACGAGCTCCATTTCGAGGATGCCAGCGAGGAGCTGGCCCCGTCAGAGGAAGTGATTGAGCTGAGCGACGACAGCGAGGAGGAGCTGGCCTTTGAGAGCGACAGCAGGGACAGCAAGGCCATGCCCTGCCAAGTGTGCAAGAAGGTCCTGGAGCCCAACATCCAGCTCATCCGCCAGCACGCCCGGGACCACGTCGACCTCCTCACGGGCAACTGCAAGGTCTGCGAGACCCACTTCAAGGACCGCAACTCCCGGGTCACGCACGTCCTGTCCCACATCGGCATCTTCCTCTTCTCCTGCGACATGTGCGAGACCAAGTTCTTCACCCAGTGGCAGCTGAGCCTGCACCGACGGGAGGGGGTCTTTGACAACAACGTTGTTGTCCATCCCAATGACCCTCTCCCCACCAAGGGCCCTGTGTTCGGGGCCGGAGCGGGCTCGGAGCTCTCCTGCGCCGCCTGCGGGAAGCCTTTGGCCAAGGATTTCCACTCCGTCCGCAACCACATCCTGGAGCACGTGAACTTGAAAAGCCAAACGTGCGGCGTGTGCGACCAGAGGCACCTGAGCCTCTGCAGCCTCCTCTGGCACGGCCTGGCCCACTTGGGCATCTCGGTCTTCTCGTGCTCCGTTTGCGCCAGCAGCTTCGTGGACCGGCACCTCCTGGAGAAGCACCTGGTGGTGCACCAGGGCGCCGAGGAGGCTCTGCTCCGGTGCCACTTCTGCGGGCAGAGCTTCAAGCTGGAGGCCGCCTATCGCTACCACGTCAGCCAGCACAAGTGTGGCAGCAGCCTGGACCTGCGGCCGGGCTTCGGCGAGCGCCTCCACCACCAGAGCCTGCCGAAGAGGAAGGCACCGGAGGAGTTCCTAAGCGAGGATCTGGTGCTGCCCAACCAGCCCGGCAACAGCAAGTACGGCTGCAAGGTGTGCGGGAAGAGGTTTGCCCACACCAGCGAGTTCAACTACCACCGGCGCATCCACACCGGGGAGAAGCCCTACCAGTGCAAAGTGTGCCACAAGTTCTTCCGCGGCCGCTCCACCATCAAGTGCCACCTGCGGACGCACTCGGGGGCCCTCATGTACCGCTGCACGGTGTGCGGGCACTACAGCTCCACGCTCAACCTCATGAGCAAGCACATAGGCGTGCACAAAGGCAGCCTCCCCCCGGACTTCACCATCGAGCAGACTTTCATGTACATCATCCATTCCAAAGAGGCGGAGAAGAACGCCGAGAGCTGATGGGGGCGAGCGGAGGAACCGGCGCTGGGTTTGCTCCATGCCCGGGTGATGGAAGCCTCCTCCTTGCTCCTTTTTGTTCCCTTGGGTTTGGGCCTTTGTAGCGAGTGCTGGCGTTGTCCGAGTGAGCAGCCCCGGGAGCCGCGTCCCCGGGCCAAGCAGTTCCTTACCTCCGGTCCCGTAGAGGCCCTCGAGTCCTGTGTTTGTAGCGTTTACTCCCTAGGGTTGGGAATCTAGATGCTGTCCTTCGGAAACCTCGCAGCCCTCTCGGCCAGGCTTCCCCCTCCGCTCGAGCTCGTCCGCAAACCGATGCTGCTAAGACTTCTCACACCTTGACCTCAAGTAGGAGAGGGCCAGAGCCAGAGCAGGGTGGTGCTGGGCTCCGAGAAGAGGAGAAGAAAGAAGTGGGAATAGACTCAATGCTGGGCATCCCTGGGGTTCTGCTGCTGTGGGAGGAGAGGAGCCGCATCCACGCCGCAGCGTCACGGAGGTCCCCGCAGTGGGGACTGGAGCGAGCGTGCGGGGTCCTGGTGGGGAGCCCCCGGGATGGGGACCGTGGCTGCGGGGCCGTTGCCAGGAGACCCCAGGAGGTGGAAGGAAGGAGGCAGCAGCAGCAGAGGGAGCCCTGCAGGGGCTGGGGCTGTGGGATCCAGGTGTGGGGTCAAAGAACCACGGGATGCTTTGGGTTGGAAGGGACCTCAAAGCTCCTCCAGCTCCAACCCCTGCCACGGGCAGGGACCCCTTCCACTGGAGCAGCTTGCTCCAACCCGGCCTTGAGCACTGCCAGGGATGGGGCAGCCCCAGCTCCTCCGGGCACCCCATCCCGAGTATCCCATAGGGAAGAGCTTCCTCCTTGTCTCCACTCGGTCCCCTCTGGCTTCCACCAACCTGCAGAAGGTGCTGATGCCCCCTCAGCACCGCGCATCCCGGTGCTGGGATCTCCGGGCAGCGGCAGCACCGATCCCATCGGACAAGGCTGTGATGAAGCTGTTGCCTTAACCCACAGGGAGGTACCGTGGAGGATCTGTGTGGATCCCAGCCGTGGATCCCGTGTTCCTGCTCCATCCATGTGCGGAACCAGGCTCTCGGTGCCGCAGGCCCCAGCTGCAGCGGAGCAGCCCCAAGCGCAGCAGCCCCGATGTGACCCTGAGCTGGGTCCCTCCATGGGTTAGGCCTGGGGCTGCCTTTCCCCCTTGGTGATCCCGCTGCGGTGCGGAGGTGGAGGGAAGCCAGCATCGCCCTGGCCACATCTGCCTGCCCTTCGCTACCTCGTTCTACCTCACAAACAGGAAGCACTCCGGGCTCTGCAGCCATGGGCAGAGCAAACCTGGCCCCTGTGCTCCTGCAGACGCTGGTCCCAAACCCTGGAAGCTCATCCCCCCCTTTCCCCTTGGAAGGGGCAAGGAACGCACGGGCTGGATGCGTGGGGAGAGCTTGGCATCGTGTCCGGCCCCCTCCTGCTCCTGGCCGAGCCCCTTCACCTCTTTGCCTCAGGTTCCTCATCTGTAAAATGAGGGTGGTGACGCTTGTGGGTCCCGACCTACCTCTGGGGAGCGTGGGGAGGATGCTCCTGTGTGCATGTAGTGAGTGAGGGATGATGCTTTCCTTGGGAAGCGGCAGCCTCCATCCTTCCCGTCCTTCCCATCCTTCCCATCATCCCCATCCTTCCCATCCTTCCCATCCTTCCCATCATCCCCATCCTTCCCATCCTTCCCATCCTTCCCATCCTTCCCATCCTTCCCATCCTTCCCATCATCCCCATCCTTCCCATCCTTCCCGTCCTTCCCGTCCTTCCCATCCTCCCCATCCTTCCCATCATCCCATCCTTCCCATCCTTCCCATCATCCCCATTATCCCCATCCTTCCCATCCTTCCTGTCCTTCCCATCCTTCCCATCATCCCCATCCTTCCCATCATCCCCATCCTTCCCATCATCCCCATCCTTCCCATCCTTCCCGTCCTTCCCATCCTTCCCATCATCCCCATCATTCCCATCCTTCCCATCCTTCCCATCCTTCCCATCCTTCCCGTCCTTCCCATCCTTCCCATCATCCCCATCATTCCCATCCTTCCCATCCTTCCCATCCTTCCCATCATCCCCATCCTTCCCATCCTTCCCATCATTCCCATCCTTCCCGTCCTTCCCATCCTTCCCATCATCCCCATCATCCCCATCCTTCCCATCCTTCCCATCCTTCCCATCCTTCCCATCATCCCCATCCTTCCCGTCCTTCCCATCCTTCCCATCCTTCCCATCCTTCCCGTCCTTCCCATCCTTCCCATCCTTCCCATCCTTCCCATCCTTCCCATCCTTCCCATCGTCCCCATCATTCCCATCCTTCCCATCCTTCCCATCCTTCCCATCCTTCCCATCCTTCCTGTCCTTCCCATCATCCCCATCATTCCCGTCCTTCCCATCCTTCCCGTCCTTCCCATCATCCCCATCCTTCCCGTCCTTCCCATCATCCCCATCCTTCCCGTCCTTCCCATCATCCCCGTCCTTCCCATCCTTCCCAATCCTGGACCGCTTCTGCCCGGTTGTTTTCCTGCTCTTGCAGCCCTCCCCATGGAAATCAAACTCCCCTTTAGCCCCGTCCCTGCCTGTGGAACCAGCTCTGGAGCAACACAAGCAGTGGGACGCAGGTGCATCCCATGGGAGAGCTGGAGGGTGCTGGGTTAGGGCTGGGTCTATCCTGCCCCCAGAGCCTGTGTCCCAGGGGAGGCACTGAAGCTGTTGCCAAACCCAGAGCTTTGGTTGCCAAAGGCCGCTCTCGTGGCGCTGTGCCGCGGGCTCTGGTGTCTCCATGGGCTCAGGGGGCATCTTTAGCTTTGTGGGGTGAAGATGGGGGGGTCTGAAGGCGTTTGGGGGCCATGGGGTGCTTTAGGAAGGGGTAGGAGCCGATGGAGGCCCCTCAGGGCTCTTGTCCTGGTGCAGACAGGAACGGATGCGCCCTGCTCCGCTCCGCCGGTTGCTATGAAGGATGTGATGGGGGGGGACCACGAGGCTCGGGGGGGGCCTTGGGACCCTGTGGGTGCTGGGATGAGCTCTGGGATGGGTGCAGGCGACTCCCGGAGCTCACAGAGCTGTGAAGCAAAAGCCTTTTGTGCACATAAACCAAATAGAAGCTTTGACACTGGAGCGCTGCGGGGCAGAGCAAGGCCGGGGCTGGGGCCAGGGAGAGCGCTTGGGGCTTGGATCCCTTTGTGGGACCGGTCCCGTGTGGAGCATCCCAGCTTCCAGCGAGCCCCATCCGCAGAGGGGGTGTGGGGACCGCTTGTGGACCCCAATGGACCCAGCTCCGGACTGGGAGCTCCAGTGCTCCCATGGGATGACACTTACCTACCTCGCCTGGAGGTGCTTTGGGATCCTCCGGCTCCAAGAGGGAATTGCAAAGGGAACCCCAGCACAAACCCCCCCTCTCCATAAGGCTTCAAGAGGGGTTTTCCTCTGGTTTCTCACCCACGATCCCATTGGATTCCCCCCTTTCCCGATGGATACAGGGCTCTTCTGAAGCAGATGCAGAAGAGCGCGGTCGCTGTCTAACCTCTGTTGAGTGACTCGTAGGTACTGACCTCCCGATATTTAAGTGTTTCCTATCTATTTGCTGTAAAGTTTTGTATATTTTGTAAGCTCCCCCCGTAGATGTCCCCTTCGGGTTCTTTTCTACTCCCTCCATCGACGGCTCGGCACAAAGTGTGGTTTTATTTAGAATAATAAAACGGGAAACGCCGACCTCTTGCGCCCGGCTTCTTCCAGGCAGCCCCATGGAGGTCCCAGCGCATCCCTGGCTCCCTGCATCCCGCCCCCGTGCTCCAGGGTGGCAGAGCCCGGTGTCCCCATGGTGGTTCCTCAGCAGGGGGGGGAGATGAAGCCTCCTTGAACCCATGGAGGGAGCGCCCCCGGTTGGGGTTCCTTGGTGAGCCCGTTCCATGCAGCCGGGGCTGGTGCTGGGGGGAGCTGGGGCTGTTGGTGTTTGGGAGCTGCTTTGGTTTATGCCGGTGCTGGGGAGCCCTGCTCGGGTCGGGGTGAGCTCAAGCAGAGCTGCTCCCATAGGAACCAGGCTGAGAAGGGGGGTCCAAGGATGCTGGGGAGGGACCAGCGATGGGACAAGGGGTGATGGGGTCAGGCTGGAACAGGGGGGGTTTGGGTTGGAGATAAGGAAGCTCTTCCCTATGAGGGTGCTGGGGCACTGGGATGGGTTTGGATGCTCCATCCAGGTTGGATACAGGGGTTTGGAGCAAGCTGCTCCAGTGGAAGGTGCCCATGCCCATGGCAGGGGTTGGAACTGGGTGAGATTTAAGCTCCCTTCCACCCGAAACCATCCCATGGGTCTATGATTCCTGCTGGGAGCCATGGATTGAGCTGGAGCAGCCCCGGGCTGCTGGTGCAGGGGTACCCATGGCAGGGTTACCCTAAGGGGTGCTGGAGGCTCTAAAGGGATACGCAGGGACCCAGCTGAAGGATTTGCTGGGCTCCAAGCCCTGCTCCCTCTGTGGGGCTTTAGGGGGGGTTATTTGAGGCCAGCCTGGCCCTGGGGTCTGAGCGAAGCTGCAGGTACAGGAGAGGGGTTTTCTTATCAAAAGAAGGAAGTTTATTGGGTCAAACACCAGATTTTAGAGGTTTCGACTGGAATATCTTGTCCTGGTTCCATGTCTCCCATTAGGATTGGCATTGGCAGAAGGGAAGGATCGGGATCAGAGCTGGGGGTCTGCTTCCCATTCACTGGTGCTGGGGCTTTGCCTTGTGCCCAGGTGATGGGGATGAAGGAGCTGGGACCGCGCCGGTCCCCAAGGCCAGGCTGTGACACTGGGGGTAAGGAGCGTAAGGAAGAGGAGCAGCACCAGTTGCTTCCCTGAGCTGGACACTGGGATGGGAACAGGGACTGGAGCCGGACACTGGGATGGGAACAGGGACTGCAGCTGGACACTGGGATGGGAACAGGGACTGGAGCTGGACACTGGGATGGGAACAGGGGCTGGAGCTGGACACTGGGATGGGAACGGGGACTGGAGCTGGACACTGGGATGGGAACAGGGACTGGAGCTGGACACTGGGATGGGAAAAGGACACTGGGATGGGAACAGGGACTGCAGCTGGACACTGGGATGGGAACAGGGACTGGAGCCGGACACTGGGATGGGAACAGGGACTGGAGCCGGACACTGGGATGGGAACAGGGACTGGAGCCGGACACTGGGATGGGAACAGAGACTGGAGCTGGACACTGGGATGGGAACGGGGACTGGAGTTGGACACTGGGATGGGAACAGGGACTGGAGCTGGGCACTGGGATGGGAACAGGGACTAGAGCCGGACACTGGGATGGGAACGGGGACTGGAGCTGGACACTGGGATGGGAACAGGGACTGGAGCTGGACACTGGGATGGGAATGGGGACTGGAGCCGGACACTGGGATGGGAACAGGGACTGGAGCTGGACACTGGGATGGGAACAGGGACTGGAGCTGGACACTGGGATGGGAACAGGGACTGGAGCTGGACACTGGGATGGGAACGGGGACTGGAACTGGATGACCTCAAGCTCCTTTCCACCCCAACCCATTCCCTGGACCCATATCCGAGGGCTCCAGCTTCATCCCCAGTGCAGCTCCTCTCCACCCCAACCCATTCCATGGATCCATATCCGAGGGCTCCAGCTTCATCCCCAGTGCAGCTCCTCTCCACCCCAACCCATTCCATGGACCCACATCCGAGGGCCCCAGCTTCATCCCCAGTGCAGCTCCTTTCCACCCCAACCCATTCCCTGGATTCATATCCAAGGGCTCCAGCTTCATCCCCAGTGCAGCTCCTCTCTCTCAGATGGATCTGGCTTCCTCTCAGCCCCATAGCGAGCAGAGCCCTGGGGCAGGCACTGACTGACGCTGCCAAGAGCGGAGCTGCTGGCGGTGATAACGGAGCCCGGGATATCCTGGCCCCCGCCCCGCAGCCCCACATCCTGCCCCGGGGCTTGCTCACGCTCTGCTCTGGTAGAGGCGCTCTTTATGGGGCAGCTCAAGGCCTGTGGGAGATTGATGGACCCGCTCCTTCCCCTCCCCTGCCCAGGGCTCGACCCGCGGCGCGTGACGGCCGAACCCGGACAATGATGAACGCTCTCCGGATGCTCCGGGTTCTTACGCGGCCGAACCCCGCGTTCCGGCCCTCAGGAATGGGGCGTTCCCAAGGGAACACGGCCCCGGCTCCAAGGATGCTCACAAACCCAAGGGTGGCCTTGAACCTGCCCAGCTTGGGTGCAGAGCACAGGGGAGCTGCTGAGCCCGGGTCCTTCCTGCCCTGCTGGAGGCTCAGCCCTCGGGGTCGTGCCGCCTTCATCTCTGTGCAATCAGGCTTTGGGGCCTCTGCTGGGCATTCCCAAGGGATGGATCCCTTCTGTCCTGCTGGGGCAAAGGGGGCAGCGTCCAGGCTTTGTGTGTGGGGAACGGTTGGGCTTGATCTGAAGGTCTTTGCAACCCAGTTGATGCTGTGGTTCTATGATTATGGTTCTATCAGTCCATGGTTATGGTTCTATCAGTGCATGATTATGACTCTAATTCCATGACTATGACTCTAATTCCATGACTATGACTCTAATTCCATGATTATGACTCTAATTCCATGATTATGACTCTAATTCCATGATTATGACTCTAATTCCATGACTATGACTCTAATTCCATGATTATGACTCTAATTCCATGATTATGACTCTAATTCCATGATTATGACTCTAATTCCATGACTATGACTCTAATTCCATGACTTTGACTCTAATTCCATGACTATGACTCTAATTCCATGACTATGACTCTAATTCCATGGTTATGACTCTAATTCCATGATTATGATTCCACGATTATGACTCTAATTCCATGATTATGACTCTAATTCCATGATTATGACTCTAATTCCATGATTATGACTCTATTTCCATGATTATGACTCTAATTCCATGATTATGACTATAATTCCATGATTATGACTCTAATTCCATGATTATGACTCTAATTCCATGATTATGACTCTAATTCCATGATTATGACTCTAATTCCATGACTATGACTCTAATTCCATGATTATGACTCTAATTCCATGATGCTCAGGGGCTGCAGCAAGGTCTCTGTATCCCCCAGTCCGCGGTTGGTACCCAGCCCCGCTCCGCAGCACAGGAGGTGACCAGACAAGAAGTGTTGAAGAGCAAAGAGTCTCCTCATCCCCAAGGGAAGCCGTTAGTTGGGGGGGCCGTTTTCCTTGGCGATGACTATGGAGTGCTGCGTGGAGGAGGAGGAGGAGCTCTCCGCGCCCTTGTGCTTGCCCTGCTCCTTCGGGATGTACTTGACGACGGCCGAGATGAGCCTGGTGCGGAAGCTCTTGCTCAGGAAGTTGTAGAGGACGGGGTTGACGACGCAGTGGAGCAGCGTGAAGCAGTCGATGATGTCGTAGAAGAAGTAGAGGAGGTGGGCGAAGGTGCAGTGGAGGACGATGTGGCTGCCGTCGAGGGTGAGCAGCGTGAGCAGGATGTGGAAGGGCAGCCAGCTGATGAGGAAGACGAGGATGTAGGCGTAGATGAGCAGGCAGTGCTTCCTGCTCTCCGGCTTGGAGCGCCTGACGAACCTGGCCGTGAGGACGTTGAAAACGGCGATGATGGGGAAGGGGATGAGGAACCCGATGGCCGTGGTGGCCAAGCTGATGGCCAGCGCCCACTCGTCGTAGGTCTCGAAGGGGGCCATGAAGATGCAGATGGGCTCCCCGGTGTTGACCAGCTGCATGTGCGTGACCTCCAGCACCGGGATGGCTGCTGCCAAGAGCCAAGCGGCGGCGCAGACGACGCGGCGCGCGCGGTGCTGGTGCCTGCGCCAGAAGAGGGAGGAGCTGGTGAGGGACACGTAGCGGTCCACGCTCAGGCACGTGAGGAAGAAGATGCTGGCGTACATGTTGGCGAAGTAGAAGTAGTGCGTGAAGCGGCAGAGGAAGCTGCCCCAGAGCCAGGTGTAGTCCAGCATCACCTCCAGCATCCAGATGGGCAGCGAGAGCAGCACCCCCAGGTCAGCGATGGCCATGTTGAGGATGTAGAGGTTGAGCAAGCTCCGGTTGGCCCGGCTCTGCCAGTTGACCCAGATGACGAGGAGGTTCTCCACCAAGCCCACCACGAAGATGAGGAGGTAGAGGATGAAGAGGATCACGCGCTTGACGTTCTCGTCCAGGCTGAACTCGCAGAAGCTGTAGGTGTAGTTGAGCAGGTGGAAGAGCTCGGACCAGTTGTGGTAGTCCCGGTACTCGTTGAGGAGCGTGTGGGTCTCACTGGGGGCAGTGGTCACCTCGGCCATCCTGGTGGCTGCAAGGCAAGGGGAAGCTCAGCACCAGCTGTGATGGGGAGGATGGAGCAGAGGGATGAAGGGTGCTGGCAGCACCCAACAGCCCTGAGGCTGCAGCATCAACCACTGCGGACGCAGAGCTGACAGCCCAGGCCAGCAGCTCCCGGCCAAGCCCTGCTGTGGGGATGCTCCTATTGGGATCCCAGTATGTTAGAGATTGGAAGGGACCTCAAGAGCTCATCCACTCCAATCCCCCTGCAGAGCAGGAACACCCGGATAAGGTTACACAGGAACGGGTTTTGAATGCCTCCAGAGAAGGAGACCCCACAGCCTCCCTGGGCAGCCTGGTCCAGTGTTCTGTCACCTCACTGAGAAGGAGTTGAAGTGGAACCTCTTGTGTTCCAGTTTGCACCCATTGCCCCTTGTCCTATCATTGTTTGCCACTGAGAAGAGCCTGGCTCCATCCTCGGGACACTCCCCCTTTATATATTTATATACACTAATAAGGTCACCCCTCCATCTCCTCTCCTCCAAACTATAGAGACCCAGCTCCCTCAGTCTCTCCTCATAGGGGAGATGCTCCACTCCCTTCAGCATCCCAGTTGCCCTGCGCTGGACTCTCTCCAGCAGGTCCCTGTCCTTAAACCGAGGGGCCCAGAACTGGACCCAGTATTCCAGACTGGACCCAATATTCCAGACCCACCGGGACTTCCAAGGAGGTGACAAACCCATAACCTGAAGGGGCAACGCAATTGACCCGAGCATCCTTTAACTGCCTCGAGCTGCATCCGTGCAGTGAAGGCGCCGCAGACCCCATCCAGCCCCAAACCCAACCGTTCCCTTGGGAAACAGGAGCGTGCTGAGCTTGGAAGCAGGAATCCCCCCCTCATCATCATCAACCCCCCATCACCCCCCAAGCCCCAAACCACAGGGACAGGCCCTGGACCCCCCCCCCGTTCCCATCGCTCCTCACCTTGCGGCAGGTCCTGGGAGAGCTGCGGCCGCACTCGGATGCTGCTGGATGCGGATGCGGCTCCGGGCTCCTCTCTGCTCCTCTGCTCGGACGCCTCTGGGGCAGCGGAGCCGCAGCGCGGAGCTCGGGGTGGGCTTTTTGGCTGCTTCCCCTCAGGAAATGAGCCTCGTGGTCCGGCATCCTGCGGCAGCGCAGCGCCCCTGACACTTGACTCCGTTCCCAGCGCCCCGCTCCCGTTTGAGCTCGCTGCTGGGAACGGTGCCCCTATGGGAGCTGCAGGAGGCACCGAGCCCCAAGAGCTCCGCTCCCAAGGGGTCCACCCTGCCCTGCTCCCGCTGGGGGTGCGAGGGGAAGCGCATCCCTTGGGATGGAGCCGGCTCCTCCCGCAGCTCGGGGTGTCCTAGGGGTGGGTTAAGGCACCAGCATCCCTCACGCTCCCATGGTTCCTATGGGGGGGAAAGGGCTGGAAGCGGAGCCTGTGCCCGCAGATGGCAGCGGCCACGGGAGCGGTGATCGGCGGCTCCTTGACGGCTGCTTTGGCACGGGAAGGGAGGGGGCTTGGGCCGTGCCCCGGTGCTGGGGGGGCCCCGATGGCCGCGGCCGGGGGGAACAATGGCAGGAAACGGCCCCGTTTGTGCTGGGCAAGCGGCTCGGAAGGAAGCGCCGGGGCTCCGATAACGGCGGCGGGGCCCGAGGCAACGGCGGGGAGCGGCTGAGCCCCCGCAGGCAGGCACCGGGTCCCGGCCCCGGAGGCAGGAGGGAGCCCTGAGCTCAACGGGGAGCTCTGGAGCAATGGGGAGGGTTTGGGCTCAATGGGGAGGGTTTGGGCTCCATGGGGAGGGTTTGGGCTCAATGGGGAGGGTTTGGGCTCAATGGAGAGGGTTTTGGGCTCAATGGGGAGGGTTTGGGCTCAATGGGGAGGGTTTTGGGCTCAATGGGGAGCATTTCAGCTGAATAGCGAGCATTTTGGCCCAACAGGGAGTGCTTTGGCTCACTGGGGAGCGCTTTTTCAAACTGGGGAGCATTTTGGCTCAATGGGGAGCATTTTGGCTCATTGAGGAGTGTTTTGGCTCCATAGGGAGCATTTTGGCCCGATGGGGAGCATTTTGGCTCCATAGGGAGCCTTTAGGCCCAATGGGGAGCGTTCTGGCTCCATGGGGAGCATTTAATGCCCTTGGGAACCGCATGGGAGGTCTGGTTGTTTCCCTAAGCCCTGCGGGGTGCTCAGCGATGCTTTCTTGCCTGGGTGTTGCAGTTTGCACAAGGGCCCCGTGCGCTGTCCACCTGCAGCACCCACAGGGGTGCCTTGGGCTCGCATGGGCTCGGCCCGTGTGGGAGTGAGGGCGCTGCTGACCCCGCTCCAGGCTCAGGGCCCTGATCCCCAGCTCTGATCCCTGCTCAGCCCTTAATGATGGGGATGGAGGATGCAGGAGGGCCCCGAGGGTGAGCAGGGCCTGGAGCAGCTCCCATAGGAGCCAGGCTGAGAACACTGGGGCTGGAGCAGAGGAGCTGCGTGGGGAGCTCAGAGCAGCTTCCAGTGCCTGAAGGGGGGTACAGGGATGCTGGGGGGGGACCTGCAGCAGGGATGGGAGCGATGGGACAAGGGGTGATGGGGTCAGGCTGGAACAGGGGGAGCTCAGGTTGGAGATAAGGAAGCTCTTCCCTATGAGGGTGCTGGGGCACTGGGATGGGTTGAATGGAGGAGGTTTGGATGCTCCATTGCTGGCAGTGGTTGGAGCACCCTGCTCCAGTGGAAGGTGCCCGTGCCCATGGAACTGGATGAGCTTTGAGCTCCTTTCCAACTCAGATCATTCCATGTCCTTGTCCCTGGCCAGGGAGCACCCAGCACCCCGGGAGCTGATGCCCCGTGGGGCAAGGAGGAGCCTTTGACTCCATCCCCATGCTCAAGGCTTTCTCACACCCATCCCTCTGATTGCACAACCCTTGCCCCATTGTCCAAGCTGCAGGCACCCTGTTGCCGTTGCACAAGCGCCCGCCTTGGCTCTGCATGGGGAAGGGTGTGACTGGGTGCCAGGTGTGGGGTGGGGAATGTGGGGCAGAGGCACCCGGTACGTGGGTACGTGCCTGCTGCATGCACAGGGGAGCAGTGGGAGCTGCTGCTCGCAGCGTTAGCAGTGCCTTTAGGGTAATGGTTGGATGTGATGGGCTTAAAGGGCTTTCCATGATGCCACAAGCAGGATGCTGCTTGGGATAACGGCCCGAACCCCGTATGCACAGGGGAGCAGTGGGAGCTGCTGCTCGCAGGTTAGCAGTGCCTTTGGGGTAATGGTTGGATGTGATGGGCTTAAAGGGCTTTCCATGATGCCACAAGCAGGATGCTGCTTGGGATAACGGCCAGAACCCAGTATGCACAGGGGAGCAGTGGGAGCTGCTGCTCGCAGGTTAGCAGTGCCTTTGGGGTAATGGTTGGATGTGATGGGCTTAAAGGGCTTTCCATGATGCCACAAGCTGGATGCTGCTTGGGATAACGGCCCGAACCCAGCATGCACAGGGGAGCAGTGGGAGCTGCTGCTCACAGCGTTAGCAGTGCCTTTAGGGTAATGGTTGGATGTGATGGGCTTAAAGGGCTTTCCATGATGCCACAAGCAGGATGCTGCTTGGGATAACGGCCCGAACCCAGCATGCACAGGGGAGCAGTGGGAGCTGCTGCTCGCAGCGTTAGCAGTGCCTTTAGGGTAATGGTTGGATGTGATGGGCTTAAAGGGCTTTCCATGCTTGGGATAACGGCCCGAACCCAGCATGCACAGGGGAGCAGTGGGAGCTGCTGCTCGCAGCGTTAGCAGTGCCTTTAGGGTAATGGTTGGATGTGATGGGCTTAAAGGGCTTTCCATGCTTGGGATAACGGCCCGAACCCAATGGCGCTGCTGGAGGATGAGCAGGGCCACAACCCTGGTGTGGCCCCATCCACGACCGATCCCAAACCCGAACCCAGGAGCAGGAATCGCCTTTATTGAGCATTGGGCACTGAACCCTTGCGTTCCCCACAGCCCTGCCTCAGGCTCTGCGCGCCGGCAGGGGCTGGTGCTTGGCAAAGAGGCGGTCGGAGAGGGCGGTGGGCGCGTAGCTGAGGGGGATGTAGAGCAGTTTGGCATCCCAGCCCGCGGCGTAGCGGCACCGCGGGTAGCGGCTGGTCAGCGCGTGCTCCATGCAGCCCGTCACCAGCGCCAGGTTGGGGCTGCACACGTCCTTCATGGTCCTGAAGGACTCCAGGACTGGGGGAGCAGGGGGCGGTCGGGATCAGCGCCCCGAGGCTGCGGTGATGGGGGTGATGGGAGCGCTCTCTTTGAGCATCCCTTAAGCTTTAGGGGGTACTCACAGTGCTTCAGGTAACCCTCCCCGTAATCCGCTTTGATTTCCTCCGGGAGCTTCTCCCACACAGCCAGAAAATGCTTCTGGATGTTCTCCCCGTTGGTGATGTTGGTCTGGAAGTACCCGGGCTCGATGATGCTCACCTTCACCCCGAAGTTGCGCATCTCCAGCCTGCAAGGGATCAAACCCCATGGCAGCACCCGGGGGTCCCAAGCAGAACCCGAGCACCCCAATGGGCACAGCACGAGGCTGGATGGACCGAAGCCAAAGCAAACGGCATCGCCATCGGCCCTGGATCCGGGATGGGGGCAAGGTCCGCGGCGTGGGGCTCAGTGCGGGGGCACCGGTGCCGGTCGGCGCGGTCACAGCCTCCTGCGCTGCGGGAATGAAGTCAAAGCGCTGCCAAGTCCTTCTCCTTTCCCTCGCTTGGGGCTGCCTCTGCGTGCGCCGCGGCTCGGATCCCTCCCGCGGGCCCCAAGCTATGGCGCAAGCTCGCCCTGGCTGCACCAGGAAGGGCTTTGGCACATGGGTGCCGAGCGGATAAAGAGCCCATAGAGGCGAATGGGGACCCCGGGGCAGTGTCTGCGGTGCTGGGCTTACCGGAGGCTGTCGGAGAAGGCTTCCACGCCGAACTTGGAGATGCAGTACCCCCCTCCGAAGAAGGAGACGCGGCCCATGACGCTGGCCACGTTGACCACGCGGCCCCGCGCCCGCCGCACCAGGGGCAGGACGCTCAGCGTCACCTCGATGAGGCCGATGAGGTTGACGTTGATCACCTTGAGGAAGTCCTCCTTGCTCAGCCACTCGTTGGGGGCGGAGGGGGTGCCGGTGCCCGCGTTGTTCACCAGCCCCCAGAGCCCTAAGGGGAGAGGGGATGGGGTGAGCCGGGCCCTACCCGGTACCCCCATACAGGAGGGGGCTCCCCAGCGGCGCTGCCCCATCCTACCTCTGTCACCCACTCGCTCCTTGACCCATGCGGCGGCAGCAGCGATGCTGGGGCTGGAGGTGACGTCCAGGAGCAGGGTCTGCAGGCGCGGGGACGCAGCCGCCCGCAGCCGCTCGGCCCCCTCCTCGCTCTGGCACGCAGCGAGCACCCGCAGCCCCCGCGCATCCAACTGCCGCGCCAGGAGGTTCCCGAAGCCGCTGTCGCAGCCCGTGATGAGCACGAACTTCTCCGGGAGCCCCGGTACCGTTTGGCGCTCCCGGTACCAGCGCCGCAGCAGGAACAGCGCCGCCAGCGCTGCCAGCGCGTACAGCCACATCCCCGCACCCGCACCCGCACCGGGACCCGCACCGGGACCCGCTCCTGCTTAAACCGCCGCTCCCCCGTCCCGCCCCGTCCCGTCCCGCCCCGGGCCTGCCCATCCCCGCCCCGGGCCCGCGGGCTCAGCCCCGCTCCGTGCGGCCGTCGGGGTTATCGTTAACCCGGAGCGGGTTCCGCACTCCCCCCATGCGCTGCAGCCGCGGGACCACCCGGGACCTGCACCCATGAGCACACGGGACCTGCTTCTGTGACCGGCCATGACCACCCGCGTCTAAGCATGACCACCCGTGTCTAAGCATGACCACCCGTGTCTAAGCATGACCACCCGTGTCTAAGCATGACCACCCGCGTCTAAGCATGACCACCCGTGTCTAAGCATGACCACCCGCGTCTAAGCATGACCACCCGTGTCTAAGCATGACCACCCGCGTCTAAGCATGACCACCCGTGTCTAAGCATGACCACCCGTGTCTAAGCATGACCACCCGTGTCTAAGCATGACCACCCATGACCATCACTGTGAAGACCCCCCCTTGACACCAGTGTGAAGCTGTGACCAATCCATGACCTCATGGGATCTGCACCCATGACCCCCCATGGCCACGCGGGACCCCGGAGCCCTCCGGA